TGATAAGAGAATCACGGGACTGAATCAGTCAGTCCATGCAAAGTCTTGTTGGCATGTGAAATAAAAGTGGAAAATATAACATTGAGATGGATTTATTATAATTATATTCTAGTTGTTTACATACACGATGATAAGTTTTTTGTTGGTATCGTAATATTTCGAGTAAAATTACTACCCATCGTCACACCAATTAACTATTGGAATTCAAGTGTTGGTTTGAATTTTTTTTCGATTTACAGCTTGATTCCACACCATATTTTTGGTACAAGTATGGAATTTTCAACGTGGATATCGGTAACCCAAATTTCGCAGGCCGACCATAGATATCAAGTGTGCGTCGGCAGGGGATCGAACCTCGGACCATGTGCATGGTCGGCGGCAGTCCTAACCACTGTGCCACCGATGAGATACCCACTAGCGACTTGCCCTATTCAGTTAAGTAGTTATCTGCAGTTGTAGTGAGAAGTAACCAGTAGAGTGCAGCAGGTCAGGTGTGAGGACAAATACTCGCCGAAGACATTGACCAGGGGTCGCGCTATGTCGTGAATTGGCAGAAGTTAGAAATCATGGACCATGGGGTCGGGTCCTAGTGGCTTAATGATCTATGAGCTCGCTTTGTAACCAGAAGGTCCTGGGTTCGAACTCCTTGTGGTTGGTGTGTACTACTGAAGAGTCCCAAACTAAGACAACGAAAACAGCTCTCCAGTACTCCCAGGTGGTTTTCCAATGGTCCTCTAACCAATGTCAGCTCATGATGAAATCCTGTAACTAATGGAATTGTTTTGTTTTTAATTCACAGTTTCATGATTTGTACTCATATATACATGAAGGGCACTTCGAACAAACTACACACTTTCGTCAACAGCTGTCTTCGCTAAGTATCTCTCTCAGCATCAGATGGCCGGTCAGAAAAAATCAGCAATAGTGACGGATATGTGGGAGCAAGCTAACCCATCTGGAATCAAGTGTGCAATAAGTATGCAGGAAGAAATAGAGGTTGTTTGGTCATATTCTGAGAAGATAAACTATTAAGCAACATCACACACCAGGCTATCGCTCGAGTGGAACCCGAATGGGAAGCGCGAGTTAGTCGTCAGTGCGACATGGAGGAGGTCATGTGAAGAGGAGATTAAAAAGAGAAGACGTTCAGCGAAGAGACTCTTTTCGGCGAATTCATTCACATAGCTGTACAATCGCATTTATGTATAATTATTTGAGTGTGTGTGTGTGTACATGAGGTTTGTCAAAATTAGATAATTGATCAGGTAATAAAAGAATAATCTAATATAGAAACAAGGTTAATTGGACAGCAACTAAAGTAAGATTGAGTTAGTAAGTTAGATGACGTATTACAATCGACTAAAATGTTTTAACTTAGGTCAGGTTAGCAACAGAGGTAATTACAGGTAGAGACTAAGTAGAAGTGGGGTAGATAATAATGCCATTTAAATTAGAAATGAAACTGAGCAATTAAGTTGGATGACGTAACATAAATGACTATAAATTGAGCGTTGGTCAGGTCAATTAAAGTGGTAGTGAGGTGTAGAAATTAAATCGGGTGGGGGTAGAGAACAAGAAAGTTGAAAATGCAAAATATTACAATTGAGAAGACAGAATAATACTAATGAAGAGACGAGAAAAAACGATTAGGTAGAATCTAGTTTTCGGGTAATCAGATAGATTAAGTCCATTGCAAGTGTAGTGATTGAACGAACTTCTTCTATATGCAGATTTCAGGGCTTAGCAAGTGAATCACCATTGCTTCTGCAGTTTGAAGAAGTCTGATTCGTACACCTTTTGGAAGACTACTTCTTACTCTGTAGACTACTTTGAAGTTTGTTTGGGGTGCAGCTTGGTGTCCGGATTCTATCAGGTGTTCTAAGATGGAGCTGCGGGGACATTGCTTTTCTCTTTTGTAAAACCATGCTGGTAAGTGTTCGGTGATACGCTTGGAAAGCGAACGCTGGGTACGGCCGACATACCTGGCTCCACACGAGCAGGTGAATTGGTAGATACACATTGATGAGGCCAACAGTGGTAGCTTATCCTTCACGTTCACATGAATCATGGGTTTTGTGGAGAAAGTATGTGGGAAGTCGTGGCGCCAGGTAAATAGGTTGGCAGAGAACCGGATGCAATGGAGACGTGGGGCTGAAGCCCTATGTTCCTCTAGGAGTTAAAGGAAACAATAATAATAATAATAATGCTCATATAAACAGTCCATTTTTTGTCCGTTGATTTTTGTGTATCTAGAATTATATTCCAGGATGCTGAAAGTTGTACTGATTCACCCCCTTGTTATATGTATTCGGCATAACCCTTGTGAATAGAGATACCGTTGTTATTAGTCTTCCTTTTCATTTGTCCATTTTGGATATCAGAACATAAATGTTATCCCAATCAATGATGTCGTTTCTATCCCGTGTATGTACAACTATAGACTTGTGCCTCTGTGCGTAGGGGGAGGTGGTCTTTAGTCAAACTCACTCTTATTTTGAGTGTTCTATACGTTTGACCCACATATCCAGTTGGACATTTCTAACACAAAATATATTTTGTAAATTACATGACTAATTTTATCTGTCATTTTTATGTGATGACCTTTTAGTTGATTTATTGTGTTATTCATCAGATTCGTTGGTTTAAATGTGGTAAGAATCCCAATATTTTTGAGGTTACTTCGAATTCCCCCTCCGACGTACCATTTTTGTATGGTGTCGTGACAATTCCTTTTATCTGCCATACTCGTTTTCGTCATCCTCTGTTTTTATCCCCTCTCTTTTCTTCTTTATATTGTTTCTGATAAATTCTTTCGGATAATTGTTTTTGACCCACGGAAAATTCCCATTGTAACATTTAGAAAATCAAAACAAGTGATTCAGCGAAGAGACTCTTTTCAACAACGAATTTATCATCAAGCTGTACAATAGCATATATATATGGGTGTCTTTTATAAGAAGTTATATCCGGTGAGGGAAGTGAATCATAGGTGTGAATCCATAAAATAATAATAATATGAAGTTCAATTAGAACAAAAATGTTTGTGATAATAATCATAGGTAAATGTCAAGTGGCAAAGCAAATTAATGTCATATATAGAATAATTCATAGAATGGATGGAACTTGAAAAAGGGTGTGCAATTATAGGATTAGTAGACAAATCGAATAAAATAAAAAAAAAGTTGCGTAATATTGTGTGAAATTTAATAGAATAGAATTTACCGTTGTAAAAACAGGATAGATTTAGAATGACAAGTGGAACAAGTGAAATAATACCGGGGACAGTTCAAAGTGAGAATAGTAATAATAACAATTGACTTAATAAGGAAGAGTATACAAATTGAATAGACAAAATGAAAAAATGTAAAATTGGTTGAGCTAAAATATGATTGGGGATTACCATGTTTTAGCATAGAGGGATTAAGACCATGAAGGTTGGAGGGGTTGAACGAACTTTTTCTGTACACATAGCTCTGGCTTTTCTGTTTCGATAGCCAAAGCTTCAGCAATACAGATGAGTCGGGTATGTAGGGATTTGGGTAGATTGCTCTTTGCCTTGTAGATGACTTTAAAGGCGGAGGCTATAGAGATAGGGTGATCATTATCGACCAGATGTTCAATGATCGCGCTTCTTATTGCTCCACTTCCACCTTTTTGTAGCCATGCAGGATAGTGTTGTTGCACCCTCTTGGACAAAACTCCAGTCGAACGACCGATATACCTAGCTCCACAAGAACAGGTGAATTGATAAACACACATAGAGTTGGTCAACATTGGGATCTTGTCCTTCAGGTTAGTGAGCAGTAATTGTCTACTGGTAAAGGCTATTCTCAGAGATGCAGCAGGGACTGTTCTTTTCAGGGACTGTGATATCCTTCGTTTCATGATTCGGAAGCTAAGCTCCCTTTGAATTCTAAGCTCGTGTAAAGTATTTTCTTGGGAGCGGTTGATAAGCCACGTTTTGTAGGCTTTGAATGTTTATTCTTATCTATAAAACGTGGTGGAAATCCATTTTCTATTAGGATTTTCCTCAAAAGGTATAACTCATCTTCCACAGTATCACGGCTACATATGCGCCGAAGGCGAGTGGCAAGCGACCGGACCAGGTTTCTTTTTTGACCAATGGGTAGCCAGCTGTAGAAATTTGTCAGTTGACTATTCCATGAGAGCGTTCGATAAATCGATCTCTTCAGAAATCCATCGGTCCTCCTTGATTTGTTCACATCGAGGAAATGAATGTTAGACTCGTTCTCCATTTCAAATTTCACACATTACGTTACGTCTTTATTTTATTTTATTCGATTTGTCTACTAATCCTATAATTGCACACCCTTTTTCAAGTTCCATCCATTCTATGAATTATTCTATATATGACATTAATTTGCTTTGCCACTTGACATTTACCTATGATTATTATCACAAACATTTTTGTTCTAATTGAACTTCATATTATTATTATTTTATGGATTCACACCTATGATTCACTTCCCTCACCGGATATAACTTCTTATAAAAGACACCCATATATATATGCTATTGTACAGCTTGATGATAAATTCGTTGTTGAAAAGAGTCTCTTTGCTGAATCACTTGTTTTGATTTTCTAATTGTTTTTGAATATTTTGAATGCGACATCTACTTCTTCTCGTTGGCTATCTGATGTTCCTTGTTGAAAGTCTGCGTATTCTCTTTGGCAAGACCTTGTATTAAACCTAGTCTTACAGTGTCTGGATCAGGAGCAAAGCAGTAATCAAGGTACTTAGTTCGAAAACATAATCAAACTTAAAAATCGATTAAATGTGTGCTAACTGACACTATGTATGTATAAATACTGTCTGAAATTGCCTTTTCTATGCCTAACTATCATCTGATTGGTTCAGACAGCACATTCTATAGTCATCGACCAGCTGACCAACCAGCAATTAGAGACAGGCGCATGTCTGTCATACAACTTTTATTCTAAACCAAAGCTATCAGTGTACAGTCATTTGTACAGGATTATGCAGCCTCGTCTATGCTTAACCCTGATAATTGTCTTCAGTGTATTGATTTTTCTTTCATTACTCTCCTTATGTATCCTATATCCGTTTATATGGTATCTAATCACTCGGCAAACTCGTATTATTCCAGGATCTTTTGTCTATCCAGAATGGTTACAGCCATCAATTCCTGTCTATGCTCAATTCTATCTGTTCAATTTAACAAATCCAGTAGAATTTCAAGCCGGTGAAAAACCTCGTGTCGAACAACTTGGACCATATACCTATCGTGAACAACGTGTCAAGTTCAATGTTTCAATGACGAATGAATTTATCAGTTATCGCGAAAGGAAACAATATTATTTTGATAAAAATTTATCCAACGGTACAGAAGCGGATGTTATTACCGGTGTGAATTTAGCTTTTGTGACAATTGCAGAAAAGATGAATTCAATGCCATGGTTTTTGGATAGAGTGATTGAATTGATAGAGAAGTACCTCAGTGATACACTAATTGTTAGAAAGACTGTCAATGAACTCCTCTGGGGATATGAAGATCAATTTTTGTCATTATTAGTAAAACTTGGTTTGAATATTCCAACAACACGGATTGGTTTAATGATTAATGTGAATAATACATTAAGTGATAGTATTACTATTGATAGTGGTTTAATGAGTAGTCAGATGGTTGGGCGTATTGTTAAATTTCATGGGAATGATACACTCTCCTATTGGACAACACCGACAGCTAATATGATCAATGGTACTGATGGGACAATATTTCATCCATTTATTACGCAGGGCGAGAAACCGTACATCTTTTCAGCAGATCTATGCCGTTCGCTACAATTTTATGCCGATTCAGTAACTCAAATGAATCAATTGCCGGTGATTAAATTCCTCCCGATGCCAGATACCTTTAAATCACCGAAAAGTTATGAAAAGAATAGAGGGTTTTGCTTGAATTGGCCTGATTGCTATGGTGATGGTGTTTTAGACATGTCCTCGTGTCAGCCAGGTGCACCAGTGGCTATGTCTCAACCGCATTTTTTAAATGTAAGTTCTTATTTTACTATTATTATTATAAATTATTTATTATTATTGTAATATAGAAAACATCCCCATTTAGACATTTAGAAAAGCGAAAGATTGAGCGAAGAAATATTTACTTTTCAATTAGATCCTCATCTCACTCTGGCTCTAATCTATTACACACGTATAGCATTTTTATTACAATACACAACAATTTACCAATCGTCAAGTAGCACTGATATGTTTGTTAACAATAATTAGTCAGGTGGAAATGATTACAACAAGTGGATTGCAGAATGCATAATTTTGGAAAAATGATGAGCAATTAAAGAATAAGCGTGTGAACAGGTTGATTACGTAACAGATTGTTAAAGAAAATAAATAAAATAAATTAATTAATTAAACAAAATGTTAAATAAAATAAAAATAAAATAAATAACTAATGTCAGCTCATGATGAAATCCTGAAACCAATCAAATCACTACAAACCATAACTTGAATACCAATGAGATGCTCACTGGCGACTGGCCCTATTCAGGTAGGTTGTTACCTGGGTTCCATTGGGAAGTCGTGACCAGTAGGGTGCAGCAGGTCAGGTGTGAGGACAAATACTCGCCGAAGACATTGGCTAGCGGTCGCGCTATGTCATGAATTAGCAGAAGTTAGAATTCATAGGCTGGCCATTGGATCGGGTCCCATTGGCTTAAGGGCATACTATCTCGCTAGCCTTGTAACCGGAAGGTCCTGGGTTCGAATCCCGGTGGGTGCGTACTGATGAAGAGTCCCAAACTAGGACGAAACAGCTGTCCAGTACTCCCTGCAGGTTTTCCAATGGTTCTCCAACTAATGTCAGCTCATGATGAAATCCTGAAAATAAAACAATTTGGACAATGATAATTTGTAAGAATAAAATAATTTTTACAAGGATAACACGCAATTAAAGATGAAATAGTCAGAAAAATCAAATAATTTGGACAATTATAGTTTGTTAAAAAGAAAAATATTTTAGGGGGAGGGGAATGAAGTAGTCCGGTTTATACAGTCATGTAACGATGGCCAATGTAAGGAAAGTGGCTGTACAAATTTCTTCTGAACACACAGGTTTGGCTTCTTCAGGTGGATTCCTGTTGCTTCGGCTGTTGTATGTAGAAGACGAACTCGTAAAGCAAAATTAGGATTAGTAAGAATGCGATAAATAATTTTAAATGCAGTATTAACTTCAACCTTATGCTCACTATCTACAGGGTGGGCTAAAATAGAGCTACGAATAGATCTTGTTTATCCCTTGCTTAACCATGTTGGATGATGTTCGGAAATACGATGATGAGCGTGCCTAATTGTTCGCCAAATGTAACTGGCTCCGCAGCTGCAGTGAAACTGGTAGATACACAGAGAAGAGGCGAATTTAGGCAGTTTATTCTTATTACTCGAACGTAGAATAGGTGTGGTTGTGAAGAGACAACGTACCTCTGCTGCATAATAAGCTCTTTTTTTACTGCATTCTTCAGGCGCTGTGTTATTATTTCGCTGATGTTGTCACCGAGGAACTGAAGTTTTATGAACAGTGGTTTTTTCGGAACTGTTGTCATAGTGACTGTCCTAGGTGATGAATTCATATTTTTCTGAATAAACTTATCTGGATAACCATTTTTTCTAAGTAATTCTCTAATAATCTTAAGCTCGTCATTGAGGCAGTCGTCTGAACAGATTAACTTAGTTCTATGAACCAGACACTTTACCAGGTTACGTTTATATTTCAAAGGTACAAAACTCAAAAAATGAGTGTACTGACCGGTTGTTGTAGGTTTCCTGTACACACTCCTTCTCAGTGTGCCATCTTCTTTCCTTGCCATGAAGACGTTTAGGAATGAGATGCTGTCATTACTTTCGTTCTCTATGGTGAACTTTATTGCTGAATGGGCATCATTAAACTTGTCAAGGATGTTCATTGCATCGTCCTCGTTTTTCATGACCAGAAATGTATCATCCATATATCGACAGTAGAAATCCAAGTCACTAATTACTCATTTCAGTGGTCCATTCTCTAATTTAGCGAGGAAAAAATCAGCTAGGATTGGGCCTAATGGGGAACCCATAGCTACACCATCAGTTTGTCTGTAATATTCCTTATTGAATAAGAAATGAACGTTCATTGTACATCTTAAAATAAGTTCCTTCAAGGTGGATACAGAAATGCCGATGTCTATGTTTCGTGTGGTAATCTCCTCACATATAAAATCCACTGTCTCCATTAACGGTACATTGGTGAACAAGGAGGATACATCAAAAGATATCATAAACTTGTCCCTCACATTAAGATCTCTTATTTTTTCCAACAATTCAAAACTGCCCTTTACGCTATGCTTTTACCAACTCATTATGCAGAGGTTTCAGGAGCTTCACTAACTATTTTGCTGTGGCATGATATGGGGAATTACACATGTGTAACACTGTTCAAAGTGGCAAACCAATTTTATGCACTTTTGGTAGTCTATATAATCTTGGTGTAACTGTACCAGTAGGCTTTAGAGATTTATATCAACCTTCTATGATGCTGTTTTGTTGTTTAAGTCTTTTTAGTGACTCAGTTAGCTGTTTCTCCACTTTTTCTGCTGGATCGACGGAAGATGTGATTTTTTGAAATTTTCGATGATCACTGAGTATTCCATTCATCTTATCTATGTATTCAGTATTATTCATTATTACTACTCTAGAGCCTTTATCAGGTTTCGAAATTATTATATCCTCATTATTTCGCAGCTTATCTAGGGCTTCCCTGTGTTTCTTGGTCAATAAGCTATTCTGTCTCCGTTTACTATTTATATATTTATAACAACAGTCGACGAGAGTTGATTTAAGACTTTCAACTGCCTCAGATGATGAGTGTGTCAATCCTTCAGTTTGTGCATAGAAGTTTTCAAACTGGACTTGCATATCCATCTTATTAATTCTAACGTGATTATCACAAAACTTAGTACCTAGGGATAAAACTTGCAAATCAATGTCATCAAGAACAACATCGGAAAAATTATAAACATACCGACCAGGGTTTGGAGGAAATCGTATTTATTATTGTTATTGTTTTATATCATGAAAAATATCCATTTATTCATTTTTTTGTTCAGCGAAGAAATTTCTTTTCAACGACTTCATTTTCAAGCTGTACAGTCGTATTTATATTACAGATAAAGGTTATTAAGTGACACTAAACAATTGCTCAGTCAATATACATATATGTGTGATAAGAATAACGATAATTACATTGTTATAAGGGGTAGAGTTGAAGTGGATAAATTACAGAATTATTAAAGATTGTTTTATAAGTGAATTGATATCGAAAATGTCAAGTGTTGTCTAAAAATTTTAAAAATTAGTACGATTACGATAAGAACGAAGATGTGAAGTGAAGTGGAAAGAATTCAAGTGGTAAAATAAAATAAAATAAAAACTAGAAAGAACATTACATTGACTAAGGTAATGAAAGGGGTTTTTGAACACATAATTTAGGTTCCGGTTCGTTCATGTATAGCTAAAGCTTCGGCTATGCACAAGTGAAGAAAACGTAAACATTTGGATCGATTCGATTTTGCCATGTAGATAACTTTGAAAGATGAATCACGTGTTTTATCACGGAATATACATATTGGACCATAGGAATTATTGAAAAGATGGTTGCAGCGAAGAAAAGTTTCTTTTCGACGAAGTCATCAACTAGATAGCTGTACATTCGTGTATAGATATGATGGAGAAGATGTGTAGCTCAGGTGGATGAGATTAATGCAGTTGCGTTCTCTGAGCTGGATAGTTAATTTGCGAAGCTTTCATCACCCTACTGGGTGACATCTTCAGCGCATACTTCAATTTGATGAAGTGAGCTTTTAGATTTCTCCACGAGCTTATTATTCATCTCTCCTGGTCGGTGACTTTGGACGTCGTCGTCATTGGTTGTTTTCGTGTGTTCTCACATCCTCTAGGCTACTTGTGGTATTGAAAGTGACTGTTTCTTGGACTTGAACTTTGACCCTTTGTGTGTGAGATTTCTTTCTTATTCGGTGATAAATTTTGTCTATCTCTATATGTCCATTGATTGATGATTCACTGGGACACAACCAGAGATCCCTATTGCTGATCTTTTCTGACCGGCCTTGAATATTGAGTGGAGACATCTGTTAATGAAGGTCTGTGGTTTGTTTGAGGTGCTCTTTATGACGCGCAAAGTCTCTAATCCGTAGAATGAGTAGCACTGACTTCACATTTGAATTGAAAATCCGGATCTTATTTTTCATTCTGAGTGCTGTTGATCTATCTCCACACAGACTTGGTGAGAGTAAGGAAAGCTTGTCTTGCATTTTCGATCCTTGCTTTGATATCCCCATCAGTTCCGCCTGTAGCTGAAACGATGCTTCCCAGGTAGGTAAAGGAGGTTATTTCTTTCAGGTTCCTCCTATTTAGACTGGGATTTTAAACAATGTTTTGCTCATCTTATAACGTCTTCTATTATTAATGAAGATTTAACTAACATTTCCTGATTGTTTTCAAGTTCATATTTCATAATATCAAGTGAATCACATAGGGCATACTAGTAAATAGAGAAACTACAATAAAACTTGATATATTTTTTCTTTTTCATTAGTTATAAGCATTACTTTTCTTTTCTAAATTCCTCATTATTTATAATGTTCGAAGAAATATTGTATTGAAGTGTTTTCAGTATTCATGATATGTTTTTTGATAAAGTATATGTCACTGACATTTGTAAAATATCAGCGATATTGAAATGAGTAATTCCAACGTTTCTTGTGTTCGTCAATTTGGTCCGAACTTCTTCAGGGAAATTAATCGAAATTAACATTACAAAGGTTTATATATAAAAGGAACACCTCTTGTTTTTTAAAAACTTTGTCCAATCATGAGTCATAAAACAAGTATTAACAAGTATAATAAACAAAATTGTACGAGTTGTGATCAAAATTTGACCTCAGACTTACAAATATTGATCTACCTTTGTTAAACACTTTAAACAC